CCCCTGAGTCAATCTCTTGTCTGGTGAATTCAACTAGAATGCAAGGGTGCCACCTTTAAGCAGCAAAATTGTTTGGGTGACTCTGCTTCCTCCTTCACACCTCTGGTTTATATTACATAATTACTTTGCATATCTCATTTTCATGCCCTCCAACATATCTCAGAGGAAAACTGGGACATATGTGGCCAAGCAACATCAGACTATGGTCAATATGACAAAAATTATTAACGTGGAAGAGCATACAAGCTAGGAGTAGCTGCAGCAGTCTTTTGCCTGAGCCTACTGGTAAGGGCAGGATTCTGCCTTCTCCTCTCCCTGCTCTGAGTTAATTGAGTGCAAACTACTTTTTCATTGCATTCAGTTTACACCAATGGAATTAAGATGAGGACAAAAGGAGGAAAGTGGAAAGAGGAGAGGCAACTGGTTCATTTTAAAAGCAGCTGGAAAAGTAGGGACAACAAAGAATTAAGCAGGACTGCCCCTGCCAAATTCAAGTGAATAAAAACAAGGCTAGTTCTCTTTGGTGGACTAACTACTGGAGACCTAAATCTTGTTTTGCAATATCTGTTTCTTTACAAATGTATAGGTAGAACAAATAGCAAGCAAGTTGGCATCATTTGTCCAGCATGCTAAGACCCTAAAAATTTGGTTTTGCTTGCCAAGAACATCTTAGCAGAACTTGTTTTTCCTTGGCTAAATTCAAACTGCACAAGCTATCCCTTTTCCAGCCCCACCAGGGCACACCCCAGTTGCTGAAAATAGCCACTGCCCATCAGATATCAGGTAATCCAACAATCCTACCAAGAAGCAGCCAATTTGCACCATGGAGGAGTTAAAACCTTTGGAACTTAAGAGGCTACAACACAATACTTCTTTCACCTGGGCAGATGCCAGATTCAAAGGCCACAATACTGCTTGAAAGCCACATTCAAGGAAAGACATCTGGTTTCCTTAGAGAAAGGACAAGATACAGATCAAACAAACAAACTCTCATGATTTATGACTGCCAACAGACCCATAAAATCATGAAGCTGGAAGGGACTTCATGGGTCATTGAGACCAACTCTCTGCTCAGTGCAGGTTCTCCAACTAAAGCTTTCCCAGGATTTTCCAGCCTCTTTTTGAAGACTTCCAGAGAAGGAGATCCCACCACCTCTCTAGGCAACTGGACCAAATGTATCTATGAACTTTTAAGTCTTTTGAAGAGCCCTTACTGGTTTGACATTGCCAGTACATGCATAGTGGTCTGATGCCATTAACAAACAGCAACATACTACTCTTGCTGAGATGAGATGGCAAAATGGAGGTTGCTACAAAAATGAGGTCTTGTTTTTACTGTTGTAGTACAGGTTCCAGGGGAAGTCTCAAGAGGCTAAACTTTGAAACTATTTAAAAAAAAAAAAAAAAAAAAGATCACCCACTAGTATTGCCAGTTCAGGTTCATCCTAGGACCTGAGGTTTCTGGGCTCAAACCTGAGATTTAGGGACAGACCTTGGTGATGTCATTAAGCATTATTCATTAAATACCAACTACACATGTTGACAAGTTTTCCTTCAAACACATTCACACAGAGAGAAAGAGAATGAACATATTTTCCCGTTTGGAAATTACAACAGAAATCTTAACTGAAGGAACTGTTCCCAAAATAAAAGTGAAATGAGGGAGTTATCCTTCTCGTTTACTTTGGGAGGTGGAATAGGGAAAATTTAAACTAGCCTACTTGCTTCTAGCCAGAAAGTAGATGCAGAGCAGAGTGGAGGGGAGTCATGGAGCCATACTGACTTGGAAGGAAGGAGGAAACTAAGTAAATACATAAACCACCTGGAAAGTCTATGCAAGTTGCAGCAACTAATGCATTAATCCCTAGAAACTATAACAAGTGGTGCTCTATAAGCTGAGCTACAGATTTGAACACTGTCCTTTCCTCTTGCATGAAAGTGAGCCCTTCAGAACTGGAGAATTTGTACCCTCAACCTCTGTCTGGAGATGACGTGTGAGAAATAGAACATCAGGGTCAGACCCTGAGATCTAGCAACCCGATCCCCACAGCAAACAAATATATCAGGTAAAGATTGTATAGAACACTTCTCCCTAACATGAAATATTATATGAACCCTACTTGCAATCTAAACTGATACTGGCTCCTTTTTGCTATTGTCAGTGACAAGTAGGTACGTATGGATGTGCCTATGTCTGGAAGTTTCCCTTTGAAGGAGGGAGGCATTGATAACTTGGCACTACCCCTCTGCTAATAAAGAAGTACATGATGATTACATTTATAGCTTTCTTGGTTATGGAATAAATGTTGCAAGGATTAAAAGGACCTGACAAGAGATTTGGAACATTTCAGAAGTTTCCTTTCTGGTACTGTGTAGATGTGATTGCTTATCTTGCATCCTTATGCTATCTACAGTATCTCCTGTACCCTAGTTTTGTTATCTCAACTGCAGAAAGTTATCTCACTTTACCTATAAAACATTATTTTAACTGAGGAGTAAATTCAAATATTTATTTACCCTCATGTTTGTTTGTTGTTGTGTATCTTCAAGTCATTTCCAACTTATGGCAATCGTAAGGCAAATCTTTCATGGGGTTTTCTTGGCAAGATTTGTTCAGAGGAGGTGTGCCATTGCCTTCCCCTGAGGCTGAGAGAGTGTGACTTCCCCAAGGTCACCCAATGAGTTTCATGGCCAAGCAGGGAATTAAACTCTGGTGCCTAGAATCATAGTCCAACATTCAAACCACTAAGTCACATTGGCTCCAAGTGAAGGATGGTAGCTATAGTTAGCCCTCCATATCCACAGATTCTTTATCCACAGATTCAAGCATCCACAACTTGAAAATATTTTTAAAAATATATAAATCCCCCAAAGCAAAAGTTGATTTTGCTATTTTATATAAGGGACACTATTTTACTATGCCACTGTATTTGATGGGACTTGAGTATCCATGGATTTTAGTATCCAAAGGGGGTCCTGGAACCAAAGCCCAGTGGATACCAAGGGCCCACTGTACTACCTAATTTCCTGTTATGTGATCTTGAAGGTGAATCCTTAAAAACCTTAGAGTGGAGCAGTTATTTCCCAACCATTAGGTTCCTTTACCCAGCAGCTTAGTTAATTTGCAACATTACCAGTGTGTTGGCTGCAAATCTTTTGCACAAGGGCCATCTGTTTCTAGAAGGATCGTTCTTACCAACCTGCCTGATGGTAACTTGTCCCTCAAGAGGAGACAGATGCGCCCTGACCTTTCCATATGCCTTGGCAGCTTTCACCTAGCATGTGGATTGGCTTCTGCCAGTGAGGGCTTATTCATGCACAAGCACAAGTTGTTGCCTCTGGGGAAGGATTGAGGGGCTTAAGTGGGCAGGTGTGAAGTGCACTGTTTGTTGCACCCTGGGGCTGGGTTTCCATGGAAAGTCACTCACTGGAATGGTTTGTCATTATAGGAGTGAAAAGAGAAAGGGGGGGGGACTTGTATAATTATTATTATTATTATTATTATTATTATTATTATTATTATTATTATTATTATTATTATTATTATCCTGCCCCTCTGTGTAAGTGTCCAGAGCTGAGCTTTTAACAGAATTCGTTGGCAGTCAAATGCAGACTGAGGTTTGCTGGGAAAAAGCAGATCACCTTTCCTCAGGGCACACCCATGCTCAGCTGTGTGCATAGTCAGGGTGATGGATCATAAAAAGGAAGGGGGACACATAAACCTCCTTATCTTGAAGTGTATCGCTTACTGCAGGTGACAGATTGAAAAAAAACAATTCCATACCCTCCAACTGTGCCTACTTGTCAAGGACAGTCTTGATCAATCCTTTGTTGTCCCACTTTTTAAAAATGTGCCACTCGCTCTCTCCTCCCACTTTCCCCCTTTGTCCTCTGCTTACTTCAGCTGCTGCAGACTGTTCACAGTACAAAAGTAGTTTGCACTCAGTTAAGTGATCCAGGAAAATATGATAGGGTAGAATCTTGACCTTCCCAGTTGACTCGGGCAAAAGCAAACTGCTGCAGCCTCTCCCTAGAGTGTGTGTTCTTCCTCATTAATAGTTTCTGTCACCTTGACTTTACTGTGATGTAGCTTGGCCATACTTGTCCCAATTCACATCTGTAAAAGGTTGTCAGGTATGTAATGTCATGAACTCCAGTGTGCTGAACAAGATGTGAATGGGACATCATGTGTCTATTCTCATGACAGTGTGAATATGAATCACTCTCTCTCTCTTTCTCTCTCTCTCTCTTTGTAATTTAAAAACAAAAAAACAGCACTTCTGATGACTTCTGCAGGCATGCAGGATGATATTTCCAGTTTGTGGGGAAAGCTACCACAAACCTGCATGCATATTTCAGCCAGTAGCCAACTTGTTTTTAACTTGAAACACCATTTGTCTTTGGTATGATGTCATCTCTTTCAAGTACTTTGGATACAGAGGGAAATTTCTGCATCCATAGACTTAACACCCCATGGTCTCAACCCAGGGAATAATACATAATACCATCATCCACTTAAGAATGTTGTCAATAGAGTGTTCTAAAGTGCTGTCTTGGGTGCTTTTAATTTGAGCAACTGAAAAAGGCAGAAGCTGAAATACTGTGCAAATTCATTTATGATGTTTTTTTTTATTATTAATCATTCCAATAAATCTATGTGGAGAGAGTCAGACAGACAGACAGATGGGTAGTTGAATAAAACAATTAAACAATATTATATTCGGGTGGACCCAGAACCCCAGAAGGATCCAATAAAATTGAAATAGGTTTTTAAAATGATTGCAAACAAATATTGGCATGAACCCAAGCAACAGATGTTTCAGCTTTTGCCTTCTTGGTGATGTCAACTGGAGTGGAAGTGATAGTAGCAGTTAAAGAATTTCCATGAACTAAGCATGGAATTCAAAGGATGGTTCTGGAGGCAAGAGTGGTATTGGAGGCAACAGCAGCCCTGGTGGTGCAGTGGTTAAATGCCTGTACTGCAGCCACTCACTCATAAACCACAAGGTTGCGAGTTCAATACCAGCCAGGGCTGAGGCTCGACTCAGGCCTGCATCCTTCTGAGGTCGCTAAAATGAGTACCCAGCTTGTTGGGGGGCAATCAGCTCACAGTTGTAAACTGCTTAGACATCCCATAGCATGATATGAAGCGGTATATAAATAAGCTGCTTTGCTTTGCTTTATTGCCCATAAATTATTTCTACACAAAAATGGTGGTCTACACTGGTGCTGCTCCTATGAACCATCAGTTGCTGGTTCACAGTGAGTTTCCAGAAAAGAAGGAAACTGGCTGTAGACAGTAGACAAACATGATAATGGTTCCTGGCACATTAGCACTGCTCTAAATTAAGGCTAAAACAGTGTCAAGGAATTGAGTCTACAGATCCAGCAATTTTCTCTTTTTTTCAAGCATGGGTGGGTCATGAGGTTTCACCACTGGGATTATGATCATGTTGGAAAGACTGGATAAAGGGAGCTAGGAAAAGAGAGGCACTGACTTTTCTCCTTGTCTGTGTTTTTCCTTCCCACAGTGGACTGCTCCAATATTTTTTCTCTCTTCCCAAGTATTTTAGGTATTAGAGGGAAGAAGAGAAAGAAGTTTCACTGTCTATATAGCAACAAGATATGGTGAGATAAGACACAGAAAGGGGAAAGGTCAGCGTTTCGCTCTCTCTCCCTCTCCCACCATTCATTATGGAAGACCAACATGAGCCATTTCATACATGAACAGACAGATGCCCCAAAGGATTGCCTCCAGTTATCACATCTGGTATGGACCTTTGTGCTATTAAAGATGGCAGATCATGCTTCCAGTACAGGCTATGTATTATTTGGTTTTGTTACTTTTAACCATAATGACATGTGATGGTAGTCATTAGGATTGCCAGACTGGAAACCAGACACAACACCTAGGTACTTTTAATGGCTGTGTAGCAGAGTGAATTACAAGAAGCATTGCTTGTCAGGTAACCAGGATAACATGCAACACCTGCTGAAATGCCTTCTACACAACCAACAAAGGGACAGAGGCTATCTCCAGTTTCAGTCTGGCAACCCTTGTGGTCATGGAACAGTTTGTTAATTCATCACAATCAAGAGGTGATGCTCTTCCTAGGAGATCCTACCTTAGGTTGCAGTCCAGAGGGTGTCACTTCATTTAATGATCCCAGTTAAGTTTTGCCTGCTTATGTGAGTCGTGTTGAAACCAACATGCCCTGTTAATCCTGAAGGTTTACAGCTGTCTTTGACTTGTACTAATGAATATTGCCTCATCCTTTCCTATTTTCCCCCCTTTTAATTGGGTTACATGATCTCACACAGGAAGTGATCACTGATCTGTGAAGGATCCAGACCTGTTATCTCAGGGGATCTGCATCTATGGCAACCGCTTCCATAGAAACACCCATGTTTGCTCCTCTTGAGTCAGGATTGTTCTGTTGCTATGGCCACAGGTCAGTCATGAGGCCTCCATCCCTTGATCCAGAGTGGACAACGATTCTGTCCCTATTCACTGCCCATTAGCCAGCTATCAGGCAATGGGCCTGGCACCCATCCAGATGGTAGGTGCCACATTCCCGCTTAACGAAGCTCCAGGCAACAGCTGCGGATTTGGGTGTTGTTTACCTTGGCAAGGGCACTGTCTGTTGATCATTGCCCTGGCAGAATAAAAAGAGAATCAACACCCAGCTGGTAATTTGAATAGGAGATTTGAGTTCCAACGCAGAGAGAAATAAACTGATGTCTTTAGACATTGTGTCCAGGCAGGCTTTATTACTGTATACCAGAACAGCTCACACAGTTTCACAATGAATGATGCCAGCTGCTCTCCTGTGCTCTAGCATTAGCTTTTTCAGAGCATGAGAATTCAAAGTTTTAGTTGTATCCCAGACGTGAATATGCTGGATGGCTTTATGTGTGCCATTCTCTCTTGCCCTGAGACACCTCCCACCTGCACCACTGGGGTTAATAGTACTAGCTTTGAGCAATTTGGAAGAAAGGTATGATATGAATGTTGTTGTCATGTGCCTTCAAGTCATTTCCGACTTATGGCAACCCTAATGCAAACCTATGTGTGTATGTGCCTTCAAGTTGCCTGTCAACTTATTGTGACCCGATGAATTTTATAGGATTTCCTTAGGCAAGGAATCTTCAGAGGTGTTTTTACCAGTTCCTTCCTCTGAAATATTAGCTACAACACCTGGTGTTCATTGGTGGTCTAACATCAAAGTACTAACCAGGGCTGAACCTGCTTAACTTCCAAGATCAGACAGGATCTGGTGCCTTTAGGTTATTTAGGGATCATCACAGGGTTTTCTTGGCAAGATTGGTTGAAAAGGGGCTTGCCTTCACCTTCCTCTGAGGCTGAGAAAGTGTGACTTGACAAAAATGGCTGGGATAGAAATTTTCACGAACAAATCTATTTCATTTGGGTTACATTTTTTGCAAATAAATAAAGCTGAAATTTTCTCAAAGCAAATGTTCTTCCTCACAGGAACATGCATTTTGCAGCTCTGCTCATGGTATTTGAGCATTGTGGAATACCTTTGGTCCTGAACTCACAAATATTCCTGTGGGCACAGGGCATTTTAATGCTCCATAATAAATTGGAATTCTCATTAGGGTAAAAACAAAAACAAATCTCCAATTAAGACAATGAGTGGTTTTTCTCTGTCCGCCTAGATCAGGGCTAATACAGAACTAAATAATCCAGATGTTAATAATTTTTTTTATCCAAATGATATGGTGAACAATGTCACAAG